AAAAGGATTTTAAAATACGCAAAAAAAAAAAGATTTTATGAGTGAAATTTGTTCCCATGGGAATAGTAATTCTCTGCTCGGAAGGTCGCAATTGTCCCACGCGGCAGCCAGTCATGCCTCACGCAGCCGCAAACCCCCACAGCCCCAGCAGAAGAAGCAACGATGGCAGCAGTCCGCTCTCACGCATAGTGCCAGCAACGCTGTTATCCCACTGCGACGAATTTAAAAGGCTGTTGCTGGGTGTCGCCGCCTCTGCTTCCTTGACCTGTGGATGGAGCCCTTCTTGTCCCTTGCCCTCAGCGTTGTGTGTTGCTGCATTTGCTGCGTCGGGGGTGCCCACAGAGAATTGGGTTGGTTGATCTGCCTGCATCATAGCCCCACCTTCCGTCCCCACCGTTTGTGCATCATCAGACAAGAAAGCCTCATCCTCCGAGCTGGCGGCACCTGAAGATATAACAGATGCCGACTGGTCTGCGCTCCTCTCCCTTGCTGAGGATGTCGCGGCATTGGGCTCCGGTAGCTTGGGCCCTTCTGATTCCGACTCCGCTGGTGTGGATGGAGCGCCACCGCTCGCACCACTGCTCGCGCTCAAAGTTGCTTGGTCCGTCGGCTTGGGTGCGGCAGCAGCAGGCGATGGCACAGTTGGCTGCGTATTTGTGGCAACCGTATCGCTGGCAGATTCAACAAACGGAGAAGTAGCTGCCGCCGCCGGCACCGGCTTCCTTTCCGGAGGTGAAATGGTGACTTTACTCGCGTTGAGGGCGTCAATCTCAGTTTCATTCAACGGGCGGTTGTACAGAAAGACGTTCGCCACCGTCGCATGGATTTCTCTGCTGCTCAGCTGCTCATCGTACGCGCCAAAGTAAAAGTGTGAGACCTCGTCCAGCCCTTCATTGAACGAATTTCTCAGCCTCATATTCCAAAGGAGAGTCCCGTCAACGTACACGGAGCCCACACCGTCATGCATTTTGAGCACCACGTGATACGTCTTGTCCACCTCCCATGCGGTGAAATGCTTCGGGAACAAGTCATTCACCACGCTCCACTCCATATTATTATCGTACGACAGTCCCAGGAGTGTTGTCGTCCCCATTTTCTTCAGGCCCATCAGGGGAGTGATGCCCTTCGGCACCTCGTGGATCGACACCGTTGCCGCAAGAGTAAACCCATAGTTTGCAAAGTGGAGCGGTATGTTCGGCCACTGCTTGCCCACAGGCCACTCGGCCCCCGCGCCCTGCCCTTCGAACGTCAACCCACTGGGAGCCTTTTTCTTCGCACCCCTCACAACGGCATTCACCCCAAGGTACTCGTCCTCCCACGTGTCCCCACGGAGCGTATCGGCCAAATGGCCCACAAGCCCAGCCGTGGGGATAGAAACAGAACAGTCCCATCTTGACAGCGCGGCGTTCGCGGCAATTGAGCTGCATTGTCTCAAGGCATTGTCATTTGCGGCCCAGGTAGACAGCGCATACATTATCCTCTGCAGCTCAAGCGTCAGATCCAAGGGGTCGGCTACGGAGTCGTTTCCAAAACCTGTCTTTTACAAACAATACAGCCTATCATCCGCGTACAACAGAGAGCTGGAGGTCGCGCCATACCCAGTGGGTAGCAGGCCAACGTGGTAAATGCGGTTCGTGTCTGTTAGCCACAGGTGAACCCTGCCCATTTGGTTGTCCCCGAAATATTCCAGCTGGGTGAGGAGGATCACCTTCTTTCCGCCAATCGTTGCTGTGATAAATCCACTCTGAATGTGGAGCCCAAGACCGGCCAATGAGTTGCCCCACACGCGCGAGAGCGTCCCCAGAGCCTCCTTCCACGTGTTCCCCTTGTCGGTCGACTCGTACACCCTTCGGCGACCGTAATCACATGAGGTGATCATGATAATTTTCCCAGCCTCCCACTCAAGGATACTGGGGCTGGTGCAGCCCGCATGTGTCGCGCTGTTCGCAAAGGTCCAGTGCTGTTGACCGGAATTCCAGTACATGACTGTGGACGCGGTTTCCCCTCCCCTTGTCAGAAACTGCACGGGAAACACGAGCGTGTTATCCGCCATTTTCGTGATGGGAGTACTGGCATCGTTGAGGAAGCCAATAATTTCACCGTATTTATAGGGATAGTGAAGGCGAAAGCTCATAGAGACGGAATTCATCGACAAACCTCCGCTTATTCCAGGCCCCGTCTCCAGAAAATGGATAACAGACTCCAACCCACTTCTCCGCTCATCGGGAAACCGAATCATGGCCCCGTTCCGTAAGTCGTAGCCCTCCACAAAAGCAAAAAGCGGTCCGAAGGGTCCAAAAGACAAGGGAAGCGACATCCGGTAAGGGTGTGCAGCAAAAGCGTCACGACCTACTGGCCCCGCGTACGACTGCCACGTCCTCCCAGCATCAACGCTGATCCGTGCCATCAACTGCATGGACGCACTCCCGCTCCCCACAGTTCTATTGAACTGAGCTCCAGCAATGGCCAGCAGCAACCCGTCCACATTCACAAGATGGGGATTGTGGAAAATGTGGCCAGGGACCGGTGGGTTTGCCGCTCGATACTCCCCTGGCAACCGCTCAGAACTGTGTCCTCCATAGGAATCGCACACTCTCGTTCCATAGTTTTGGGCCTGCACAGACCCCGCGGCGGCGCACATCATCACGAAGAGGAGCAGCAGCATCGCGGAATTAATCACACGCCGGGACATGTTGGGCCTCTGCTGCTCACTCTCTCCTCCTTCCCTCCTCCTTCCGCTGGATCCGGTCACGCGACGACGGTTGTGTGTGCGGGGTGCCTTCACTGCAGCAACACGTGAGAGCATATAAATATGTGTGTGTGGGCGGTGTGTGTGTGTTGTTGTTCCTTTCAGTGCCTTCGGATTACACAGTAGCGATTAGCGCTTGTTTTCCCTCTATTTGTGTGTTCAACAGGTGGAGGAGACAGCGACAGCGGCAATACATCAGACACGTCAGCGGGGTTAGAGCAGAGCAGGGCACCCACGCAGAGAGCGGGGCACAAGACAATCCGAAAGGGACGGTACGGAGAGCCACCGCCCACAGAAAAGAGCAGCAACACGGCAAGTCACGGCGGGCCGTCGGTGTGTGCGGGCCAGCCCTCACGCGGTGCAACACGCCACACCCAACAGGAAAGGACAGACAGTGAGAGAGGGAGACGGATGGATGCCGTCAGGAGGCACTCACAATCAACACGGCCCGTGAGCATGCGGCCACTCCACGCAGGAACACAAGAGGAGAGGGTGACGAGGGAAAGGCAAGAAGCAGCACAAACACACAAAAGAAACAAACACCAGTCTCGGGAAAAGCACCGCCACGGCCCTCACACTGGCCGGCGACTCCACACCAGACCTCACACACACACACACACCATCGCAGTGCCGTCAGTCCGCGGGTGAGAGGATTCGGCCCTCCACACAACAAACGCACACACCGCCAGCAGCCACCCACCATGGAAGAGCAGAAGAGACCCAACGCCACCATCGCCTCCAGTTCAATCCCACGGCCAACGGGATACGGCCACAGCCCCGCAGCCAACACACAGCGCACACGGAGCGAGCAATCACCCAAAGAGCCACACACGCAGAAGCGATTCCTCATCCATCCACGACGCGCCGCCTCACTCCATGCCGTCACACGAAGTGCACCACTTCCTCCCTTCGCTTCATGCCCACGGGAAAAAGCGGCACCCACACGCAGCTGCCACACGCACCGCAAAAGAACCATCCAAATCCACTGTGATTTGCACTCTGTGTGCGTGTGCTTGTGCGTGCCTGCAGAAACACCAGGCAAAGAAGTAAAAAAAAGAGGCGGAGCATGTAAAGAAACGCAAAAACAAAATGTGCAGCAGAGCCGCATGGTAGAAGTAACAAGACTGCTCAAACTCACGACTGCACTGCATCCCAAGCAGTGGCGAGTCATACAAGATTTATTCAAAACCATTACAAAAAAAACTTCCCCTTTCACCATTACCTTCCCAGCCCCGCACAAAGTAATTAAATAAAAAGAAAAAAACGCAAGAAAGAAGTTGTCCTCCATTGCTCTTACTCCTAAAAAAAAAAAACACTCGGTTACTGTGTGATCCCACCAAACTGTCTGTATGTATTTTGCCCGCAAATTAAAAATTAAGTAATTACTTGCCTTTCAGCCGTCTGACCCTCTGTGTGTCCGCACATCGTTTATATTTCATGGGGTCATCTGCGTGTTGCTGCTCCGCTCAGCCCTCCCATCGGCGCGTGAGTGCGGCCCGCAGAGCACAGTCACTCGTGTGTGTGTGGACTGAGAGAAGCACGCAGACACGACGGCAGTCGCGTCACCCCATCGGGAGAGTGAGCGCAGCAAAAGAAAAAAATCATCAGGAGGAGAGAAATGCTCATAAGACAGACCCCGAAGGCTCTGCCGGCACGTGAAATGAACACGCAAAGCAAAAAAAACGAAAAAAAAAAAACACGGCGGCAGGGTGTGGCTGTGTGTGTGTGGCGCTGCGGGTGTCTGCCCGCCCTGGCCGCAAAAAGAAAACAAAACAAGAGGGAAGAAATGTGTGCTCCGCCCCACAGGCCCTCGTCGCACGCCCACACGTCACGGCTCCCTCAGCGCGCCGTTCGTCGCGGCCCCTCCTCATGCGTGCAGCAGGCGAGGCGCACAGGGCCGTCGTCGTGAGCGTGTCGGTGGGTGTGCGAGTGGAGCAGTTGGGCGGGAACACACGGCACCCCTCGCAAGAAACAATTAAAAAGGGAAGAGTAGAAAAGAAAAAACGTCCATAGTGACTGCCCCCAAAAGAAAAAAAGAGAAGAGATGGGGAGTGAGGGATAAAAAGAAAAAACAGAAATAAAAAAGCAAAACTAAAATTAAAACATTAAAACAACAACTTAATAAACGCAGAAAAAAGCAAAAGGGGAGAAAAGTGAATAAAAGTTATTTATGAGGTGAAATTTGTTCCTAGCGGTGCGTGTGTCGGTGCAGGGGAGGGCACAAGTGTCCCACGTGGCAGCCAGTCATGCCTCACGCAGCCGCAAACCCCCACAGTCCCAGCAGCAGAAGAAGCAACGATGGCAGCAGTCCGCACTCACGCACAGTGCCGGAATCGCTGTTATTCCCCTGCGACACATTTCCGAGACTGCTGCTGAGTGCCGTAGCATTTACTTCCCTGATCTGCGTATTAACCTCCTCTTCCTGCCCATTCGTTCCTCCTTCTCTTGTCTCCATCGTTGGCTCGCCATCAGCAGTAGAACTGCCATCTACAGTTTGAGTTCCATCGGGAGATGTTCCTGAAGCTACCCGCTTTACGGTGTCCTTTCCTGCTGAGGAAGTAGTTATAGTGGGCACCGCTGCTGTGGATGCACCGCCACTGTCCGCATCTTTACTGCTCTCCATCGACTGTCCCTGTTCCATCGGATGTCTTCCGGCAGGAGTAGACGAAGCTTCGGTTTTCTGAGCATTCGGGGTCGCCGGATGACTGGGAGGTATAATGGAATCAGAAGAAACTTTTGAAGGCGCCGACGGATTCTCTTTCAAAAGTTGAATTGGTTCTTTATTCGGGTTAAGGGCGCCAATCTCTGCTTCATCCAACGGGCGGTTGTACAGTAGGACGTTCGTCACCGTCAAATGCACCTCTTCTTGGCCCCCTGCGTTTTCTCCATCCCCTCCAATGTAGAAGTGGGAGATCCCTTTTGAATCCCTATTTCCCAATGCACACGCTTCATTCCCATTTAATTGCTGACCATCAACGTACACGGAGCCCTGGCTGCCGTTCCGTAGCAAAATTACCACGTGGTGTGTTGACCCCAAAGTGCTGCTGAGCTTCCCAGAATTCGGTACGCCATCGCACAGCACCTGCCACTTCTTTTCGCTGTCGTACGACAGTCCCAGGAGAACAGTCTTATCATCGCCATTCATCGTCGCACCCATCAAAGAAATAGGACCCTCCTCCTCCGGCACCTTATCGATGGACACCGTCGCCACAAGAGTGAAGTAGTAGTTCGCAAAGTGGTACAGCTGATTCCGCCCCTGCCTGCCAACAGGCCACTCCGCCCCCGCGCCACGCCCTGTGAACGTCACGCCATCGGTAGTCCCTGCTGCACCAATACCACTCTTCACTGTGGCGTTCACCCCGAGGTACTCGTCCCTCCACGTATTCTCAGAGAAGTTGCCGGACAAAAAGCCAACCAGTCCATCCGTGACCACAGAAGTGCAGACAGTGCCAGTCGAGGCACTCTCCGCAGCACTTAAAGTGGGGCACAGTTTGGAGACACGTTCGTCCACTTTCTTCCAAGTCGCCACCACCTCCTTCACCCGCTGCAGCTGCTCAGTCAGAAGCGCAGACCAAAGACTGTGTGACGATGGTTTTTCACTGCCCTTCTTCTTCTCGTACAGTGCAATCAACTCATCCTTCTTCTTATTATTTCCACTTCCAGCACTTTTGTACAACAGGGAGCTGGCCGCAGCGTCATCGTCATCATCACCGGATACCGGCCCAATATCAACAATGTGCGTATTGTCCGTCAGCCAAAGATGGAGTTCGCCCTTTTCCTTTTCCTCCTCTTCCCTCTCCGTAGGAGGCATAGGCAGAGTGACGAGCATCACCCTTCTCTTATCATCATTTCCATTGCCAACAGTCGCTGTGACGAACCCGCTCCCAACAGCCTTCACGTTTGCGCCTTTTGGGCTTCCCCACACACGCGAGAGTGTCCCGAGTGCCTCCGTCCACGAATCCCCCTTGTCATTGATCTCGTACACCCTGCGGCGGCCATCATCACACGCAGTCATCATGATGAGTTTATTGTCCTCCCACTCCACAACGGAGGGATCACTGCAGCCACCGGCAGACATCCCCTTCGACAGCTTCCAATTCGAAGCATCCGAAGAGTACATGAGCAGCAAGACAGTCTTTCCGCCCACAACTTCGCTCTGCCCCGAATTCTTCTTTGTGGCTTCCACTGGGAACACAAGCGTGCCGTCCTCCGTCTGAATACCAGATCCACCGCCTGCAACAAGCTGCATCAAGGAATCGTGTTCGTCCTCACATAAAGTGCGGACCAGTCGCTGGTTCTCATTCCATTGGATTTTTCGGTTGCCTCCCTCAACACTGACGTTCCCTCTCATCAGCAAAAGTCCCCAGTCACCTCCACCACTCTCTCCAGCATCAGCGGCAGCTGTCCGGCTGTATTTTCCAGCAAGCATGTAAATTTCATTTTCCTTCACAACTGTTTTTGGTCGACTCACGTCTACTTTCTTCTTGATTGCGGTAGTGCCTTCCTCCAGAACCTGTGTATCCCTTATGGCATCCTTCAGCACTTCCTTCGGTTCGTTAGCCTTTGCTGTCGTCACAATTTGAGTTGCAATGCCAGTAAAGATGGTTTCACCCTCCTTGCACTGCGCCTCGGCAACGGCAAATACGTCACTCCCCACTTTTAAAAGGCCGGGAACACCCAACGAGTCCACAGCTACACCACCATTGGCGTCCTTCCATTCAAACTTCGGATCAGTCCCTGAAGCACTGTTCTCCGCGTGTGCGGCTTCGCAGGCGCAGCACATCATAACGAGGAGGAAGAGGAGCAGCACCGCGAAAGTAAACACACGCCGGGACATGTTGGGCCTCTGCGGCTCACTCTCTCCTCCTTCCCTCCTCCTTCCGCTGGATCCGGTCACGCGGCGACGGTTGTGTGTGCGGGGTGCCAACACTGCAGCAACACGTGAGAGCATATAAATATGTGTGTGTGGGCGGTGTGTGTGTGTTGTTGTTCCTTTCAGTGCCTTCAAATTTCACAGTGGCGATTAGCGTTTAGTCGTAACTTCCTTCCTAGCGTGTGTGTGCGTGAGGTGGAGAGAGAAGAGAAAACAAGCCAAGTAAAGAGGTAAAAGAATAAGCACCGCCACCCATCCACAGTGAGTGGCACCATCATCCCCGCCGCAGTCACTCCCAAAAACAACAACTCACGCACACAGACACACGGAACAGCAGAAGGAAGATCACTGCACCGGGAACACACAGCGACTGCCACCACCACCAGCAGGAGTCACGACGGGTGCTTCTCCCACGCGTCAGCACACACCAAGCGACGCCCACACAAGAAAACAACCAGCGAGATGCAAAAAAAGCACGGCCGCCCTTCGTAAAGCCCACGCGCTGCCGCCCGTCGTTTAATTCTTGTCCCTCCATCGCACTCGCTCCGCCGCTGGCGCACATCGCCCCGCACAGCCCGAGGTTTAACTGTCGACGTATCCACAGCCGCAGTGATGCCTCGACAGTTGCAACTGCTAAGCAAGAATTCATCCGCACATGTCCCAGCCACCCAAAATGCCACATCACTCACCGGCCGCACGCTGCCAAAATCACGCCCACAACACATCGGAAACATTCAAATCACGGGCTACCGTCCTCCCTCCTCGCGAGATGCCGCACCATGGCAGCACGTCAGCGCGGCCACCCACGCCAGAAGCTACCGCTCGCAACAGCATCTAATGTGTAGTGTGGGCTGCACGACAACTCTCCGCATCATGCGAGGCCGCCCCCCACTCACGCACATCATCGCCAACGCGTCGCAGTCCGCAACAACAAATACGGCAAAAAGAGTCTCCACGCCACCCACAGCAGGAACATCGGTGCCGCGCCCACAACACCAAAAACAAAAAAGCAGCGCAGAGGCGAGCCGACACGCACACCTCCACACGCACGGCATAGAGCCTCTCCCATCATATGCGTGGTCCAGCCGAGACAGCAACAAAGGATACAAGGGCACACGCAACCCTTGCCATCCCCGCTCCCAGAAACACAAAGCGAGGAATACACCGCAGCTCGGACACGGCACAAGCGAGCATCGCGGGCGGCGGCGATGAGGTCGGTACCCATTCACTCCCCTCTGTTTTGTGTGGGCAGACGGCTCCGCCCATGAGAGATTACAGATGTGTGCATACTCAAAGAATGGCCATGATAAGCGGTCACTCTTTATCCACGGCTGGGTCGCCGCATGTTGGTCGACAGTGAGGCACATCCACCACCACAGCACGCCACGGACAGAGAGGCTCTAGCGGCGCAAAGGACAGCGATCCCCGCCACAGCGCAGTCGTGCCGACCAAGCAAAGCGATATACCGCCGCTGTGCACACACCTCGGAGGGCCGCAGCTGCATGGCACCAGTGATGCGCACAACTGTTAACAGCGGGACGGCATGCAGTTTCCTTCGTCCGTGCCTCATTCCAACAACAAAAGCAGCACAGAAAGCCGCCATGGTCCCTGTAGCAACAAATTCCTTTCGGGAATAGCCGTGACAACATCCTTTGTGTGGGTGCCGCGGCCGGGATCAATGCTCTCCGCAACAGGGACGGAAGCCCCTGGCAATCCTTGTCCAGTAGATGCCGGTGGGACCGTCCTGCTCCACACCCTCGCCTCGCCGTCCCACGAAACCACGGGAATGACACTGCCGCCGGTGGCGGATATCGTGCACACCTCCGCGTACTTAGGGCAAATGACATTCTCCTTATTGTAGGGTGGTGTGTCCCACGTAATCGTCTCCTCTTCTGTGCATGGGAGCCAACGGACGTTACGCTTTTCAGGATTTTTCAGATGCACCTGCATGCCAAGACACTTCAGTTCCGCCTGCGTGGCAGCACTCAGATACGTCTCCTCCGGGTACCTTGCATCTGTCGTGTTGGTGGGAAGCGTGTCCAGACACCACGAAGAGGGCTTATCCCCGGGCCTCGCAGACAAATATTCTTCCTTCTCAAAAACAGCCTCAAGGTCCCTCACGTCCATCGCGGGATCAATGATGGGGCAACTGTCCATTGAGTGCTGTTTTGAGAATTCAATGATGCTCCGCCGACAAAAACCGCGGGAATACCGATCCGACGCGCAGCGTTCGACAACCTCGTCTCTGTTGCAGAAAATGTGGGAATATTCGCTCATGTTCGGTGCGGAGCGCTTACTCTGCAGCAGCTCACAACCCGACTTCTTGCCCCAACCCATCGGCTCCGCCAACTTCCAGTTCACCCTCATGCAGCCCAGTTCAGCGAACGCAGCCAGCGTCAGCTCCGTGTGATCGCCGGCGCCCCCAATCGGTGCCATCAACTCATCCTTCGCGTGGCGCTGTGACCAGTGCGACTCCAGCGTACTCCCGTCCCCATTTTGATCTTGTAGCTCCATGCCATAAATGTCATCGCAGTCGTAGTGCTTCCTCGCAGCCATCGCGGCATTCGTCGAGTCCACCACCACCGACAGCGCCCTGCCACGCACACCAATAACATTCCTCACCATGCTGGGGTCTGCCATGTGCGGGCAGGCAAACCCGACAGCATGGGCCATCAGGTGCGCGGCGATGCGGGTGTCGAGGCGTCCGCAAAATAAAAACGCCGGGCAATGTTCATGGCGCCAGCGACTGGACGGCCATCCTCCAGCGTGGCGCACGGCAGTGATCACACACCACCCGGCGCTGCAGCCACGTACAGCAGTGTGTCAGAATCGGCAAACCCAGTGAAACAATGCCCAGCAGGCACAGTGAACCGACTGCAAACACTGCCCGTGGCGAATTGGGGCACAACCAACGGACCCTCCAGTGGCCGGACGAGCAGACGATCCGCATGCAGTTTGACAGCAGCATGGATAGCCTCCTCGGCAACGGCGCTCCCGTGCGCAGAGGATAGAACACCATCCTCACAGTGGCGATTGTCATTCAATAAATTCATTGCGTGGGACCAGGAGAAGCCGCAGTGCCCCCTGCTGTCATCCAATTCCCTTGTTGACACATTGATGCGGACTGTCACTCGTCGGTCCTTCCCAAAGCCGCTGTTCACCCGCGACTCATCCTGCGCTCTGAGAGGCATGTCCCTTACCATCAGGAGAATCAACCACGCGCCGTCGGACGCATCGCGGCGTCAAAAGAAGAAGGATACATCAAGGTGAAACAAAAGCACCAACTGGCAAGTCACATCACAAACATCATCACAAGCAGAAGAAGCCGCGCTGCTGGTCGTGGGCAACGTGGATAAAATGGCGCATGGCAGACGCGGAAAGAAACACCGAGTGGCTTGGCAAGGTTACGAGAGACTGACGCCTTCCTCAGCAACAAGAAAAACAATATGGGAATAACAAGGGAGGATTAAAGCGATCGCAGTCAAAACATGCCGCCGATCAAAAAAGCGGAATGGATGTGCTCAACCACAACAAAATTAAAACAATAAAACAATAAAAGAAGCCGCAGCGTAGGACGACCAGCGCACACACACTCTCATTGCTCCCGTAAAGCAAAACACACACAGAGGGAGAGAGAGAGAGGTCGCCCACTCAATGCAATAAAAACTAAACAGAAACAGTTACGGTGCTCCGCCCATGCAGCCAGGCAGGACGGCAGCGGTGCGTGTGGTGCAAAAGAGAGCACCAACGGGCCTGCATGGGTGTGCATGCATATATACAATGGGCACATTATTGTGTATGCCTCGTGGGGTGAGGCGAGGGCGAGAGTCCATGCAAGGGGACACACACACACAGAGAGAAGGACGAGTGTGTGTGCGGGCGGTGCATGGCTCTCTCTCTCCCTCACTCTCACGCGGCCACCACCGCAGCAGCAGCACACAACAAAAAGAAGAAGAAGCAAAAGAGGGGAGGTGGTGTGGGAGACTGCGGTGATGCCGTCACTGTCGCCATGAGAAGCTGTGTCATTTGTTTTGGCTGTGGCGATTGCTTTTGTTGTTGGGATTCCTGCATTCTGAGAGGCAGCCTTCTCCGCGCTGTCTGATGCGTCTTCAGAATCGGGGGTCGTACTGTGCTCTGCGGTTCTTTCACTGGAGGGTTGTCTCAAGCCATTTTTGGCCGGATTGCCTTCTGTGTCATCGTCAGACCGCAGGGCCGTAGCTGCTGTGGAGCTGCCTTTACTGTCGCCATCTATTGCCGTCTCACTCGTGCTGGCGGCTGCCGTGACTGGCGGTTGTATTTTTCCCTCACTGATTGTCGGGACAACATCTTTTTCGAGTCCTTTCTTGTCGTCCTTCTTTTCTCCGGCAGCTGACCCCTCAGTATTCTTCGCGCCATCTCCATTCGTACGACTGTTCTCAACACGATGTCCACCTGTAGAAGAGGATTTCGGAGTTGTTTCCGGTGAATCGTTGGCTGATTCACCCTGCGACAAATTCAATAAAACTCGTTGTTTATTTTGATCCTCTGGCGAACTGTTAATTGGGCGTACCCCCGTTTCAACTCGTTGGGTCCCATCCAGTGACTGTGACCGCAATTCCTGCGGCTCAGGCAACCGCACGTCTGCCACTTTAATTGGATTGCTTACAGGCCCTTCTTTATCTTCTCTTTCATGTTCAGTGGCAACAACGTCTTTTTCCGTTACTCTCGGGGATTCTCCCGCATGCGTGGGTGTTGATACCTTCTGAATTCCCGTTGTTTCTGTTTCTGAACTTGGGCTTCCTGATGCGAGTGGTTTATGTTCCGTTGATTCCGGCGGAACTCCCCTTCCACTCGCGGGATCACCGGGTTCACTCTGCAACAAACCCGGTGGATCTTCTTGTCGTTGTTGAACTCTTCCTTCTGGCGGAGTGTCGTCGGAGGGTACCGTTTTTTCACCTCCTTTTGCTCCATTCGGTGACGGCCGCCGTAAGGTCTCATCGTCGGTTGAGTGCAATTCCGCCTCTGCTGGTGCATCGCCTTCAGACACCCCTTCACCTCTTCCTTTTTGAACGGTTTTCACTTTTTCACCATCAACTCCAACTCCACGGCCATCCGCTTCATCTCGCTCAGCAACGACTTCACCCTTTTCTTCCAAAACATCGTCTGAGCGTCGGGTCGGTGATTCTTCTTTAACTTCTGGCGCCTGTGGTTCCACGCCCGGTATGACTGGGGATGACAATTCCGTTTCTTCCAATTTTTTGTTGTCCCCACCAGAAACAAAAACATCGCCACCGCCAGCATCATCGGCCGCAATTCCAGACACCGCACCACAGCACGCAGAGGGCACACACCAGCAGCACACGGCCAGTCATCATCGCCACCACTCCTGTCACTTGCCTGCAGCCTTCAGCAAAAAGTAACTCCCCGTCAACAGAGTGAAAAGCAAAAAGATAGACACGGCCGCTACACCACGCACAGCAACAAATGGCAGCACCCCAGCAACAGCAGCGCACACACCACGAGACACATGGAATCAGTACGACTGCAGAGCTCGCACACCGCACCGCAAACCACAAGTTAAAAAGCAATAAAAAACAATAATTAAAAAACAATAATTAAAAAAAGAAAAACAAACCCAGGGCTCCAGTGCGCATGCTTATGAGTGTGTCCGTGATGCGTTCAACGTGACGGATGCGGGGCACAACGCGGAGCACACAGCACGGCAGCAGAAGCAAGTGAAGCAAAACAAGACCATTATTTCCTCTTATTTTATACAGTGAAACACAACACACACGCACAAATCCCCGCGGTTGAGTGCTGGCACGCACAGCCCGCACACACCTCTTCAGCCCACAGTGGCGTACGCCAGCGCGGATGCGGCGAGCACCAGCGGGGCACACACCCACGCAGAGCTGCTGAGGCTGCCGTCGATTTCGCGAAGACGTGACGGTGCGCTGGTGGACGTCGTGGTTGGCGCCTCTGTAGTCGTAGTACTTGGTGCCTGTGTTGTGGTCGTCGTGGTTCTCGTAGTTGGTGGTTTTGTCGTGGTCGTAGCGGTCGTTGTCTGAGCAGAAGCTTCAGACTCCTTATTTGTTTGTTCTGCGGGGGGGTTGTTGCCACTTATTGGTTCAGTCATGCCGTTCTTAACTTCTTTCGTATCTTCCGTAACTGTTGGCGGTTCTTGAACAGTCAAAACTTCTACCCCTCCAACACTTTTTTCTACTTCCACAACCGACTCCCTGCTTGGCAACCCTGACAAAGGGGGCGATAGACTGGGGGCGGCTTCAGAAGATTCAGGCTTAGTTGATTCCGGTTTTGTATTCTTCGTGGCCGTATTGGAAGACCCTTTACGCATAGCCTCTGCCACGCACACGGACGGGCAGCAGCACAGGGCAAGCACCAACAGGGCGTACAGCAGACGGCACGTCATCATCGTGAGTGTGGTCGTTCAGTGGTGTGGAGCTGATCTGCACAGTGAGGGAAATGAAGAGCAACAGGGGAGACGAGAGGTGCGGCAGACACACACAGCAACACAAAAGCAAAGTAACAATACAAAAAGAAGATCCCCGCACACCATGTGGATTGTTGGTCCACGGGAAGTGCAGCCAATATTCACCACAAAGCAGCCTGTTATCCCGTTTTGGTTGTATGCTGCTACAATAACGAGTGAGTAGCGCAAGGACCGGCCGTACAAAAGTGGCAAGTATTCCGTCGTGCGGGCTGGGGCAGTCACACACAGTCGCAGTCCTAGATTCCCAACGACGAGGGCATTCCTGCAGTGGATGGGGCGGAGTCTCCCGCGGTCCGTCGGGGATCAGCAGCCCGTGGCGTCTGTGATGAGGCGGTGGCGGAAGAGCCTGGTCCATCTCGAGTACCCGCATTTGTGCTTCCTGCGTGTCTCGCCTGCTGGCATGCTTGGCAACTTCGGTGGCGACCTGCGCGCGAGGCACCTGTTAAGAAGACGGTGGCGCCATTGTGGCATCCGCATGGGAGGCCCTCGCAAACTAATTGTAACGCCAGGCTGAGCACGTCCGGCATGTGCCCTCATACTGTGGACGAAGAAGCGCACTCAGCCGCAGGTTGGGCAGGAGGACGTCAATCCGCCGCTCGCTGGTCGGCAAGGAGTCGCGGTGCTCACGTCGGGAAGAGGTTCCGGCGGAGGCAGAGGCGGGCCGGTCACCGCAGTGAGGGAGGGACGGCACCACCGACACAGAGGGTTCCTTGTGATCCGCAGGGCGCGTGCAGGCCTGTCGAAGAGTGGGCAGGAGTCGCATCGCACCTGTGCGCAGTGCCGCCACTCGGGGACCGATGTCCGGGTCAACACCAGGAATAGAGTCCTCGCCACACCGACAGGCGCCTGTCACGCGGTGTGCGCGCCTTCCTTTTCCTCCTGGGCATCCTTCCATTATAACCTCTTGACGGCGGTAAGGAAGTCCACGTGCCAGGCATTGACGCAGTCCTGCGAGAGGGATCGTGCAATCGTGGCTTGTTTGTCAGCGGCCTCACTGCGTGGAATACCGCAGTGTCATGGGAAATATAAAATCCACAGGGTGACCTCGCTTCACCAAGGAAAGCAGCATAATCCAAATTTACTCAGTAACGCGGTCTCGCACGGTCGGTGGGCAACGCGGGGTGCCTCCATTGCCGAGAGGGAGTCCGTTTCCTCCAGCATTCGCGCGGGCGATTGGGATGTTCCCGGACAAGGAGGTATGAGATGTCTAAAAACATTTTCGATCGCAAGGCAGTCTGCCCTATATGAGCATGCGAGGCTGCCAGCTGCTGCACGATGTACCTCCACAGGGAGATCATTTGTCGTGGTGGAGTCATATAATAGCGCAGCGGATCCAGATGCGAGTGCAGCGAGATATGAAGGACCGTCCGTCCACAATTCAAAACCACAATCCCCCAAAGAGGAGTGAGTAGAATAGAAAGCCGTGCGCCCGACATCGTCAGAGGCGTCTTCGGCAAACAGTGGGTTTTTTTTCTACTCTTACCAGCGCGTCTAGCTATACAATGCCATCTGAGTGCCGAAGAGGTGGTCGAGCAACGACAAAAGTTTCCTGCTATGAAGCAACTGCCATTGAGAGAATTTTCGGTGAGAAGGTCCTGTTCAATGCCCAGCCGTTGACGCACAGCCAAGGTGCCTGGACATTCTAGAAGCAGATGGTGCAAGGTTTCCTGCGGGCCGATTGGCGTGCTTGTGGAAGCTGGCTGATCCTGCGGCAGCAGAGATCGCCTCCTGGCACTGCTGTTCCGATGCCGTGTGGCGTCTGGGTTTTGTGCGCGGCGATTTCTGTGCTGTGCGGTGCTTCTCCGTGTGGGGAAAACCATGTCACAGAAATCACATTTGAGCTCGGGAAGCGGTGGAGGATGTTCCGGATGAAATGACCGACAGTGACTGACGAAACCCGAGAATCCCGTCAATGCAGAATCACAGTGAGGACATTTCTCCTTCCGACGGCGTGTGAGGGTCCGTCTCCTTACTGGAGAGACGTCTTCCTCCCTCGCCGACGGGGGAACAGTGTCCGTCCCCGGTTCAGTGGGATCGGCGTTAGAGCGCATATATGCAGACTGTTCCGGTGAGATGTTGCAGAATCGGCGTTGGTTCGTGCAATCTCTCACGGCCCAGTATAGTCGGCCCCAGAGCTCAGATTCCCCGCACCTTGCCCTTGCGAGGTGAACCAGTCCTTTGCGGTGTAGAACTTCCTGAGTGATAAGGTCCTTACCGCTGAGATCTGATAGTCTTGTGCCGCAAAGAAAGTAGCGATGAGTGTCTTGACGAATGGTACTACGCCACTTGTTGGTGAGCTGGGTAGTAAAACATGTCAGCAGGTCCGTATGCCATGAAGGTGCGATTCCTTGCTCCGTGTATTGTCCACTTTCCATAGTCTGCGTCGCATACTGATCTGCAAGCTCGTTAGCATGTACTCCACAATGTCCGTAACAAAACTGCAGGTGCACGGACCAGCCAGCACGCGTCAGTGTCAAGAGACGCTGCCAGATCTGATCCTCCGTCCAGTCTGTCTGACTGAGCGGGCCCTTGTTTAGAGCCGCTAGAAGAGACTGACTGTCCGTAACCACAAGCAGGGTTTTACGCCTGTGGCGGATACGAGGAATCATCAGCTTCTCTAGGGCTAGAAGCAGCGCACGGGATTCCGTCCTGCGGCTACACTGGCGTTTGCCACGGTTGAAACCTAAATTCGCTATTATCTCCGATGAATTGAGGGATGAAAGCAGTATTCCAACCCCTGCTGACTTGGGAATGCCGACACCGCCATCGGTCGCAAGTATCCACGAACGATGGCTGTGCAGCGCCAGAGCCTCTTCGCTGAGTCTGCGCTTTTCCCTTATCAGCTCTTCTTCGTCAGTTATTGAGAGGTCTATCGGAAGCTCCGCACCGATGGTGACCCGGTGAGCGGAGGCCGCAAACCAGGGAGGAATGGAGCTGCGAAAGAACCGCTCTTCGCGTGGTGAGCTCTCGGTGATGCCATAGTCCTTTGTGTATGCGTCTACGAAGGCATATAGCTCGTCCCGAGATAATGGCGAGATGCGGAAACCGGCGCGAGGCGGTGGCTCAGGCGGGGGTCTCCGCATCCAGTCCATCTGACATGCGCGTGTGTTCTCAAATATTGAGAGCCGCGCGCGCAGGCAAAGGACGTGGAGCGGCGGCATATCAGCCTCCAGTAGCGCGGATTCCGGGTCAACAGTGCTCGGAACTCCGCTGACAATGCGTGCTAGGGTTGCGTACGTCTTCTGCATCTCATTCTTCGCTGAATCCGTCGCTACTGCCCATATGAGCTCGCTGCCATAGCGTAATTTGGAAGCACCGTATCCAATGACGAACGTGCGTAGGTCATGTGGAGATGGTCCCGCCTCTTTGTGCGCTATGCAGCGTAGCTGCGATATCCGTTGCGAAGTGGCAGCGCATTGCTTGGTGGCCGCCACATTTAGCGTCAGTCGTGGATCGAGATCCATGCCGAGAAGCTTCGTAGTTCGCGATGCCCCCATGGTCATGACTGGGATTTGACATCCAGCCACTACCAGCGGCCACCTTCCTTCACGATCATAATCGGACTCCGTGTGCGTGGAGAGTGTGAACCAAGCAGCTTCACACTTTGACGGGTTGATGGCCAGGCCATTTTCCTGACTCCACGCATGCAGTTTTTCAAGAACCATGTTGGCAGTGGGGATGGCGTCTTCCCGGGACTGCCCCTTAACGATAATAGAGAGGTCGTCCGCATACATGTCCGCTGTGACACCCGCAAAGCTGTTCAGCAGATTGAGAAGTGGGTGTACGTAAAGGGAGAACAAATACGGTCCCAGCACGGACCCTGAGGACTCCTCGCAGCATGGGACGCCGATCGCTGTGTCTGTGGCCAACTCGTGTCTTCGCGTAGCGACCACATAGAAAGTTTCTAAGCCACCTTCTACAATTCACCCCCGGAATATTAGCCAGCAAGCGACTGAGGACTCGATGATCTATGGAGTCAAAGGCCTTGCTGAAATCAACCAGCACCAGCAGGGTCCGATGGGGTCTGTAGTGGAGTTGATTGCCAATACCGCTCTTCTTGGGAAGGCTCACTTGGAAATAGTGATTTCTGTTATGCCCCACTTCGTGTATCAGGTGTGCCAGCTGCATCGTCGTGGTACGCATACTACGATATGCATACTGGTGGGGGTGCGGCGTCCACACCCAAAGCAATCTCTTCAGTACCATTTTCTCAGCAACCTTACTCACAATGGAGGTAAGGCTGATGGGTCGATATGACTCAAGCAGTTCCGGCGACTTACCGGGTTTTAAGAGTGGAACGATGGTAGCGCGTCTCCACTCAACCGGAATCGTACCGGTCGTCCAGCTGTGGTTAATGCAACGAAGAAGGAATCGGAGGCCCTTTGACGAAATATGTCGCAGTGCCTCACTGTAGACTTCATCCGGTCCGGGGGCCTTACCATACGGCGTGTTACGTAGCGCAGCAAGCAGTTCCGTACGATTAAAAGGTGCATCAAGAGGGGAGTGAAGATGAGCAACTAAA